AAAAATAAAATACTCAATAAGCTAAACAAAGAATTCTCAAAGAACACCGTTCCCCGACAACGGCGCCAGAAATACTTATTGAATTATTGGCAAGCGTACCAAAATTATCAATCGTAGTATAGTATTTCGATAAAATAAAAGTCGATCCCACGAGGAACAGCTTCAATGAAAATTCTCAATTATGCTTACTAAGTATATTAAACAAATTGGGTTTTGCAAATAAGAGTTGAGTTGAATTTAAATGACAAAGAACTGTATATTGTTGAGAAAATATCAATTAAAGGTACTTAGGATTTACTTCCTTCATTATCCCTCTTTTGTAATGGTTATGTCAATTAAGAACGTCAATTAACCTAACAATGTTGATGCCACCTACTCAAATCATCCATGTTGATTCCTCACACATGAAATTCATAAGAAAACCTAATAAATGTTGATTCCTCACATAATTAACAGATTTTCCAGCATTAGGGTTAGGGTGTTAAGCAATTAATACATTCATTCCATTCCTGGCAATTAACGTAACAAATATTCTTACCGTGATCTAGGGTTCAAGATATATTTTTCAATCATACCTCAAACAATCAAGAATAAATCATTCCAAAGCATAAAGGATAAGAATAACAACATCAAAGCATAGATTAATATCTCAAAATATCACAATGATACAAAAGAGTTCAAAGGAAGTGCACCGAATCCTAAGAGAATGAAGTTAGTCACTCATGTTGGCCATTACAATGCTCCAATTGATGAAGAAATGAAGAATTGATGAAGATTAGACAAAACCCTAACAGTAGTTGTGCCTCCTCTCCTCCAAGACTGCTTCCTTTTCTCAAAACACAACTTATCTTTTTATAAGAGAATTTGGGTCGGGCCTCGCATCATTTATTCGCTTAAGCGCTCTTCTTTCTTTCAATTTTACTCCAATTATGCTGACAATTATGCTCCTTACTCTTGTATCAAGGTATTCTCAAATTCATCCTATTTTGGGAGAAAAATATATTAGAATTAACATAAGTTAAGTGATTTCATAACAATTCAAGGCATAATTATATCAACTTTTTACCACTTAACAGGGTGAGGAAAGCAAGGGAAATTCGGTTAGCTCAAATGGATACGTGGAAAACAAAACGCTTATTACACAAATGCATAGAAGCAAACGTAAAAGGATAGAAAATATGAAGTTGCGGGAATTCATTCACGGGATATGAGTGGTGTGGATACTTTGTGTTAGTGTGTGAGAATATGAGTGATGGTGGTTACTGTTTTATTGATTTCCCTTTGAACTTTTAAAATTATGTACTAAATCATTGTATGAGGAACGTTTCTTTATATAAACCGTTGGTTATTACAAAAAATTATACGTTCCATATATACTAAAACATAATTTGTTTTTTTTTTTTAATTAAAACATTAAACATAATGTGTTTACTTATAAAACATGAAAATGGAACTCCTCAAAATATACACCACTCATCAAATTAAACTTTCAAATCAATATAAATTTTTTTTCTAAAATTTAAATAAACAAATCGTTTCTAAAATGAAACTAGTAATATTTTTATCAGCATTTAAATAAGCAATTGGGTGGTACTTGTTTTCGAAATATAATTTTAACATTTGAAAAAAATCACTAATAAAGGTAAAACTTATTTTGATAAAATAAAAATGATAACGTGGCGTGGCATTGTTATATCAGTCATTGATTAATATGAGGATATTGATTTCGTTTTGGGACAATATGGTCAAGGAAAAACAAAACAGCTTTCATGGAAAGCCACTGGGAAGATAGTTTTTTTTTCTATAAACGTTTGTTTTAAGTACGAACACCACTTGGTGGATTGAAGTAAAAAATGGTAAAATCTGATTCCCCAAAATGTAATAGAAGTTAGTCAAAACTAGAAAGTAGGACACCCGAAGCGTGGTGAATGAATGATTTTTGCGATAAGAGGTAAATATGGAAAGAAAGTTGAAACCAAAATGAAAAGAGAGAATCACGTGTACGGATAAGCCACTTTGTAAACCCTTTTCTTCTCATTCAACGTGTAATGTTTGAAAGGTCTTCGTTTTTTAAATGGGTCAGGTGTTTAATTTAAATAACAATGTTAGAATTATCATTATAAAATAGATATACAAGTGGTAGCATTTATCTTTTTAATAAAATTGTAAGGTTAATTTAATTATAAACTCAAATCTACGAATTATTTCCGTATTTGAAATCCAAAGAAGGAATATTTTGCTAGTCATTGAACTGTTTTATTCATTTGGGTAAAAAGAATATAAGAGAGGAATGGATATTTATAAATTTAAATTAAAGGTGTTAAGTAAAAAATAATTTTTATTTGTTACTTTTTTATTTTATAATTAAATAGAAAAAACATGTATTATCATTTCTAATTTTTTATTTTTTTTTCCTTCCAATTAAATATACTTGATATTTTGTTTCTATAGTTTGAAAAAAAAATCAAATATGTAAATAATTTGATTATTTAAATATTAGTTAACTAACATTATACTGGTTTATGAAAATACAAACTCGGATTCTTAATCTGGTAATGGATTCGAATATGGGATAATAATAATAATAATAATAATAATAATAATAATAATAATAATAATAATAATAATAATAATAATAATATTTGGACAAATTTAGAATTTAATTTATTTTACAAAAGAATGTAATTTTTATAACCTTATTTTGTAAGTGCATATATCATACTATTGGATTTAAGGGTAATAATATCCTAATTTGACCAAGCTTTTATTTAATATGTATTTTCAATATAAGGTTTATGCAAAGAGGAAAAAACTACTTTCAATAAATTAGTATAGTTATATATATATATATATATATATATATATATATATATATATACTTATTTTATTGATTGTAGAAAAAAAATAACTTCAATTTTTATTTAGTATTTATAAATTTTAGTTAACAATAGTGAATATATTTGAAAAAAATGTTGTTGACATTCTTTTTATACTGTAAATTATTCATATATACCAGTAGTACATTAGTTTTTAATAATAGAATAATTTGTCTGTATGATACTGTAAATATAAATTTATAAATCAATAAAAAAAAAATTTGTTAAAAGTTATCCTAACAAGATTCACTTGTAAAGTACGTATAAGATAATATTAGATAAACATATTAAAACAAATTAATATTTAAAAAATTATTTAGAAGATAAATAACTAATAAAAACACAAAATAATAACTGTTGAATGTATTGGGTAAAAAAGACAAAATGAAGAAAAAACATGACAAGACCTTAAGATGTCGTAAGATTTTGGAAAGGTACACAATTCAGATACGCCCGCGGAAACCATGTCGGTGCTGCAGTGTACAGTAACATTAGAGTTTAGGATAGTTATTTGAAAAAAAATTGAATAAAAAGAAAGATTATTGTTATAAATAAATAGATAAATAAAAAACTATTATTATTATTTTAATTATTTATTATTACACACCACTTTTACCGTATTAAAGAGACATCATATATAATTAATTATGTTATTATGGTTTTACATTATTTGTGTGCATTTCTTCTTTATTTTGAGTCAAAAGAACAACCACCCATTCTTCCACATTTTACGTACTTTCTTCTCTTTTTCATATTTATCAAATTACCATCCATTTAATCTCTTTTTTCTTTCTCCTTATTTTCTCATTTAATCACGTCTATTTTATCTCTCTCGTTCTAAAATTTCAGGTAAATTTTATTTTTTTCTATAAATTTATAAAGTTTATTTTAGCTTTTCAAGTAAAATAATAATATTTTTACTTCATAATAATTTAATTTAAAAGATTAAAACATTTTTTTGAATATTTTTAATCTTTCTAAAAATTTAGAAATTAAAACTTTTGTTATATTAATATATTAAGAATTATGATGTTGGGAATTAAATTACGTTTATCAATTTTATTCCCTGCAAACATACAAAAGATGAATTGATGTCTTATTTTCATTTGGTACTTATTTATAAAAATATTTAGATGTTACTTATTTTCAAAATTTAATAAAGTACTTGTTTTTATTGTTTTTTTTTAATTTTAATTTTTTAATCAATTATTTTTATATTTTTACTGTGAAGATAATATCATTTTTTTATTATATATTTTTTAATATTTTTTGTTTTATAATATGTAAGTGGTATTTTAAAATGTATATATATAGCTATATTTATATTATAATATTTTTTAATTTATATATTTAGAGCATATCCAAATTAGACAATTTAAAATTTATTTTTATTTTTAATTAAAAAAGTTAGAGCATATCTATTTTTAATTATTTAAATTGAAGAAAACTAAATAATTTCTCAAAAATTCTAAATTAACGTAATCTTAATTTCAGTATCAAATAACATTAACATAAATGGTGATCTGAGTTTCGGAAGTTGACGCGATTATTTTGTTCTTCTGTGAAACTCATCTAACTTAGAATTGAATGTGAATTTTCTTCTAAATTTAAAAAATAAAACTTAATTTACCTTATAATTTTCGTTGTTGTATAACATAACATGACAATTCAATATGAAAACAAAAATATATTAACCGATTACAGTAAAATATTTCATTTGTTTTATTTCGATAATTAATTTAAAATAATAACAACATAAGCAACGTTTTAGTTACTTATTTTGAAAGAGAAGTTTAAGTTTAGTACAAATGAAATTATTGTCTAGATACAATTATTTATTTAAATAGTAAAAAAATAAGAATACGCAAAATGGTGTTTAGACGAGGAAGGTGAGTAAAAAAGAAAAAAGAATGTAAGAATTAGAGATTGCTTAAAGAAATCTGAGACTATAAAAAACATTCATGAACGAAACAAGTCATAAGAATTGGCGGAAAATGTTGGACATTCTTCTTGGGGAAACATTTGAAATTACATCAACCCTTGACTCTGACCTGAGAAGGTTGTTTCTCTCTGAGGGAATGACATGAACTTTTCGGGTTAGTAAACTTAAATACAAATATGTGATTAATGTGAGTGAAGAGTTGCATTTAGATTGATTCCATCCCCACTATCCATGATTAGACCCATCAACAAATTCCCAAGATAAGAAACTTCCCAATCAGTGTCACCCAACCCAACTTTGCATTTTACCACAAACCCAACCCCCTCACTAATCTCACTTACACGCCCACTAACTATAACATTCCATAACTTGGGGAACATCCGCTTCATCACAGCCCTCTGATAAACCCTACACGTGGCTCCCACCGCTAAAGGCAAACCGCCCACAAAACAATACTTCTTGTTTCTTTTCATCCATGGCGGCTGACCTAATCTCGGTTTTCGACGGCCAATGCCTTCCGCTTTCCTTCTCTCCAATCACAGTACCACACGTGGACACCACTACACCCCAAAATATTGACTCGCCCCTCATAAACCGCTTCATCTGGGTCCCATAAGATTTTAGCCCCCACCAATGCCAAAATCACAAAATTCACTTCATCAACCGTAGAAACAATAAAATAAAATATCATAGCCCAATAATTCAAGATTAAATAATCTTTTTTATAACTCCGATACTTAACTAGTACTCATTGATCTAGAGTAGTGTTAATTAAATGATAGAAAATGGTAATTGCAGTGAACGTAGACACGAGATTTAATAAAAATCTATTACTATTATATCAGCATTCAGCGTTCCAAATATAGACAGTCCACCTATTTGGAAAGAGTACAATGTCACAGTCTTCTTCCCCACCCCAAAGGTTTTTTACCAGCCACTATTTACACCCAACCCCAAAACTTACGTATAATTGCCCTAGAAACCAAACCTATAGTGTTCCTCACCGTCTTGTACTTGGGTTGATAGGAACTTGCTTATTTTGCTACACCATTCTTTTTCTCAAACTATTTCACAGATGTCTTATTTTCTACTTTCTCAACATTTTTCCACTTCCTATTGGATTTTTCCTATATGGACAAACGCTATTAACAAGTAAGGAACAGAGAAGGGAACACTTCATTCCAGCACCGGCCTTTTTCAGCAAAAAGCTCGAGTGTTGGAACCGGGTGAAACTGCACGGAGAAAGTTGCATTTGTGGTAATATTTGAGGGGCATTTTAGCAATAATCTAAGGTTACTCTCTGTCTAGTATTCTATGACTAGTCCTCCCATCGGGGCACGGTGCGGTATTCCCTTTCTTCTCTTGGCCGTTCTGTAATTAACGGAAGTTGGTGGCGGTGTGGACGGTGTGAAACTCTGCACCTTGTTGCTGTTGTTCTTCCCATGGCTGCCGTTGCTGCTGTATGAATCCTCCGAGTCTGATGCCATTGTTGCTGACTTTTTCTTCTTCTCCAACTTCCTTGAAGTCCCCACAATCTACAATTCATTCTTGCATTCATTAATATTTAATTAAAATACTACAATTCAAATCAAGAATCAGAGACTGACAACTCGATTAATTGAATTCAATTTTTGAAAGATCAACAAGGACCAATGTTGAGAACCCAATTTTTCAAATATTGGGTAGAACAATTCATTGAAAACCCATATTAGCATTCGTTGGTACAAATGAAAAAGTCAAACCTATTTAAGTGCTAGCTTGAAAACCAAGCAGATTAACATAAACGAGATGCTACCTTGGTTAGTTTTATTAATGTATCAATGTCATGATTTTTAATCAATCGAAAAAAAGACATTGAAAAATGAGACGCTAAATTGCAAAAGGAAACCTTTTTTTTTGTGGGGTTTTGAATTTGAAAAGGTTTAGAAGGTTAAGCCATGGATGGCATTGTGTGGAGTGAATGTTTACCTTGCAACCAAGAGAACAGAATCTGTATGAATCAAGAAGGCTGCGCTCACAGACTTCACAAGTGTTGGTGACTCCTTTACCAGGCCTTGGCTGAGGCCTTTCATTCAAAAAAACAACCCTTGCGCTGTTGATAATGTAGGTTTGGACTCCTGTAATGTCCAACACCTTCTGAATCTCGTTCACCCTAATCACATCATGGTATGAGGACCTCCTTATCTGCAAAAAAATTAAATAAAACAGAGCACATTAGAAGGGAAATGGCCATTTGTTGCATTGAAAAAAACAACTTTTGGTTCTGATGTTGTTACTTTTACCCATCCCACAAGTACAGCACTTGTTAAAAGCAGGAGAGTGGAAATTAAGAAACAAAACAAATTGAAATCGGAACCCAATTAATGACAGTTCATATATCTCAGCAGAGAAGGGGAAAAGATGGGACTTTTTAACTAAGTTCCAGAAAAAGAATGAATCCAACACACCCACAAAAGGAAAAGTGATAGTTTTTAACAACAATGAGTGGAGGATCAGAAGAGTGTCAGAAGCTGAGAAAGAAAGAAAAAGAGTTGATAATAGGAACCTGAATAGCACGGTGATCTTTGTGGTAAGCGAGGCAGAGGGAGCAGAGAGCGCCGTTCATACAATCCAAACAGTACATGTTGCACTCGCTCTTGTGCGAGTCAGCATGCAACTTACATTGAACAAAGAAGCTCTCTTTGAGCAGAGGCTTCAGCCACGGTGGCCACCGGTTGTCCTCGTCATCAGGTCCTCCAGAACCCTTTTCAAAAAAAATCAAAATTTGAATCAGACCCAGAAGGCAAGAACAATCATTTTATTGCATTTTTCATAGAAGAAGGTGAAAACAGAGTCCAGAAAGTGGAGGAACGGTGCATGAAAGAAGAAGTTGAGTGAAAGTGGTTGATTGTCTTACCATGATTCTGCGGTTCTTGGGCTTGATTTCTCGGACAGTGGTGCCTTGGTTTTGGAACGCCAGCTTGAAAGGAGTGTTGGGAGAAAGGTTATGTGTGGTGTTGTGAATTTGAGGAAGTGGGGGAGAGTGTGTTATTTTGAAGAAGAGAAAGAAGGAAGAGGTGGGTGTGAAGGGGGAGAGTGAGATTTTGGGGCGGTGTGGGAGGGAATGGGTTCTTGTAGGAATTGGAGGCGGTAGAAGATGTTTGCTTGAGAGAGGGAGAGAGATGGGGAAAGGAAGAGTATGTATGAGAGAGAAGAGGGTCGTTCTTATCCACACAACACAAAGTCGTCTCACACGACCAAACCTAGCTCCCAACCCAAACCCGACAGATGCGTTCTTGGTAAGGAATCCATCTCCTTCTTTCCTTTTTATTTCCTTTCATTTTCCTATTCTTCTTGTTCTTATCAATTTTGGTTTTTCCACCCTCTACTTTCTATGCAATTCTTCAAACCTTCTCTTCTCATTGCTATTTGGTTTTGCGCCATAAATATCTTCTGATACCTTACAACATCATATATTAAAGTTTAAATCTTTAACTTTCTTTTAGGAGGATGATTTTAATGAATTCGATCAATTTTAAATTTTAAATCAAACTATCATTCCAACTTTAAGTTAAGCGAATTTAATTTGGTTCATATCAATTAAATATAATTTGGATTTGTGTTAAACAAGTTAATTCGATTCAAATCAATTGGTTTAAGTTCTTTATTTATAATTTAAAAAAATAAAAAATAAAGTCAATCAAACAATTTATATGTTTTAATTATGTGTTTTTAATTATTTAATTAATCTAAGTTAATTACAATAAAATATAATTTATTTCAATATAATTTTAATTTTTTTATTAGTTTAAAAGCTTGCCTGACTTAATTAGTAGTGTTTATTAAATAAACCTTTTTTTTACTAATTTATATAACATAAAATTAATCATTTATTTTAAACTAATAATTAAAAATATAATAAAATAGTTAATAATATAAAAAATTCAATATAATAAAAATCATAAACACAAGAATAGATTTAAAATATCTTAATTGGTCTATTATTTCAACCACATAAAAATATTTTAGATTCCATTAATCAATCATACTTCAATACGCATATTAATAATAATGTTTTTTAAGGAAAAAAACATGTTAAATCCCAAAGTAGATTGAAAACTCAAATTCTAATCTAATTAGAAGGAAATCTTGAGTTTAGGAAAAAGTTTAGTCTTCAATTCAGAGATTCATCCAAACTAAAACATTTACAAAATAAGAAAGAAAAGGAGAGAGAGGGAAAAAAAAAAGAGAGAGTTTTACACAAATTTATACTTATGTAAGTAAAGTATAACTAAGTATATTTCCATAATTAACTTTTCATCCTGTTTTAACAATGAGATCTTGACTAATCCAAGTTAAAGCTCGTCAAATTACTTTTATGAAAAATTGTAATGAGTATTTAGGTCTAATTTGAGTTAATTGTGTTCAAATTAGGAGGAGTTATTTAATTGAGTTAATAAGCCTTCAACTTCAAGGTTTTTTTTTTCTTTTCTATAGTTCGACAACCTCTATATTTTTTAAAATTCTAAAATTTTCCTTTTTAACATATTTAAAATTGAAAAAACATTGTTCTAGATTTTTTTTTTGTATGAAATATCCTATCCAAAATTATGTGAATAGTGCTTGTTTTATATAATTTCGAAATGTACATTATTTCAAAATGATATTTTACCACTGTTGCAAAATGTACATTTAGAAATAATTTGTACCATCATGATGATAATTTTGGAATATATTTGATCGTATTCTATAATGCATGATCTCGAATGTGTTTGATATTAGAATATGTATTCTGGACCACCCTGACCCTCTCATTCGCCATCTAAAATTAGTGACCCAATAGATTTTTAACACCTTGTAATATGTATTATTTAGAAGGCGTAGAAGATTTCATTCTTTATTTATTAATTATTATTTTTTCTAAATTTTTTTTATCTAAAATATATACTTTTTTCTCTACTCATCTTTGGTTTTTTAAGACTAATTACAGATAAGGGAAGGTAAGTTAAATCTTTACAATACATTAGGTTAGATGATATAAAAGGGTTGATATTGTCATTTAGTTGTAGAATTTTAGTAATTGACATTGTTAGAAATTATTTTGAAATAAGGAGTTTATTGAGTTTCAATTATGGTGTAAGTTAACTTAAACATTGATTTTGAGTTGAGAAATTTTAATTTAAAGATATGAAAATAATTACAAGACTTGATTTTATATAGTGAAATTGAATTTGAGATTATGATTTTAAGTAATAACAATTGAAAAACATAGAATTTATTCTATAATTTTTATTCATATTATTTTTTGTACATATATACTATGATCTTATAGTATTTTACTCTAACAAATCAGTGACTAAATATAAGAAGTTCTGATTATACAATATTTTGTACCGCTATACAAACCTATAATTTAGCTAATCAAATATCTTTATGCTAACACTCCCCTCAAGTTGGTAAATGGATGTCATACATTCCCAACTTGTCCAATAATCTCCTAAAAATCTGACTTGTCACAGCTTTGGTAAGAATGTCTGACAACTGATTTTTAGATCGAATATTTGGCAATTCCAAAATATTTTTATCAAGTTTTTCCTTGATGAAAAATCTATCAACATCCACATGCTTCATCCGATCATGTTGGACAAGGTTGTGAGCAATGTCGCGCGCAACTTTATTATCACAATACAACTGAATGGGACGTGTATGTGCATACCCTAAATCCTGGAGAAGTAGTCTGAGCCACAAACCTTCACAAAGTTCAAGAATCATTTCTTTAAGTTCAGCTTCTGCACTGGATCTAGCTACAACTTTCTGCTTCTTGCTTTTCCATGTGACAAGATTACCTCCTACAAATGTAAAGTATCGGTTGATCTTCTATCATCAAGAGCACCTACCCAATCTGCATCAGTATAAACTATCACATCCTTGTAGTTGGAGTTCTTCTTGAACATAACTCCTTTTCCAGGAGCAGCTTTTATATACCTTAAAATCCGTATAACAGCATCTATGTGTTTTTCACCTGGATTGTGCATGAACTGGCTAACCACACTAAGAGCATAAGTTAAATCTGGCCTAGTATGTGAGAGATACATCAATCTCCCTACAAGTCTCTGATATCTTACCTTGTTAGTTGGAGTTTGATCTTCTTTAATGCACAGTTTCAATCCCTCTTCAATTGGAGAATTTGCTGGTTTGCATGTTGTCATTCCATTTTCTTTTAGTAAATCCAATGCATACTTTCGTTATGAGAGAAAAATACCTGACTTTGATCTTGAGACCTCAATTCTAAGAAAATATTTCAAAGAACCAAGATCCTTCATCTCGAATTCCTTTGCCAAGTACTTTTTCAATGTCTTGCGTTCCTCTAAATCGTTTCCCGTAACTATCATATCATCAACATAGACAATAAGAATTGTAATCTTTTCTTCCTTTTTCTTTAAGGTATGATCTTGGTTGCTCTGTTGGTATCCAAAAGCAAGCATTGACTTGGTGAATCTACCAAACCATGCTCGTGGCGATTGTTTTAGTCCATACAATGACTTCTTCAACTTGCATACCTTCTTACTATGTGTATTCGGGATCCCACATCCTCTGGTAGCTCCATATAAACTTCTTCAGACAATTCCCCATGTAAGAAGGCATTTTTTACGTCAAATTGTTGTAAGGATCAATCAAGGTTTACAGCTAGAGGTAACAATACTCGAACTGTACTAATTTTGGCTACGGGAGCAAACGTTTCAGTGTAATCTATTCCATATACTTGTGTGTACCCCTTTGCCACTAATCTAGCTTTGAATCTCTCAATTGTACCATCTGCATTAAATTTCACAGTATACACTCATCGACATCCTACTGGTTTCTTTCCAACTGGACAATCTACTAATTCTCATGTTTTATTTCTTTGCAAGGATCTCATCTCCTCATTCATAACATTCTTCCACCTGGAGTCAGCTAAAGCTTCCTGCACACTGTTAGGAATAGATACAGTAGATAATTGACTTATAAATGCGATATTTGAGTTAGACAAATTCTGGTTACAAACATAATTACTCATAGGGTATTTTGTCTCACTGGTGAGGTCAGGATCTTAAGTAGGCTTAGGGATACCTCTAGTGACATGATCTGGCAGAATTCTTTTTTTTTGTATTAGGTTCTTGAGGGGACAATTGGTGTGGTATATCATTAGCATCAACAGGCAAATCGATCTCAACATGCTCAAAATCTTCCTCATTATGTGGTTGTTGATCATAACATTGTTGCATACTTTCATCATCTCTTGATATAACTTTGTAACTTTCTTTCTCCAATCTGATCTCAATATCAATTTCTTGATGAACAAAAGTCTAAACTTCGTCATAATTCTCCCCCTGAATTTCAGACTCGGGGGAAAAATATATCAAGGTTTCATGAAAAACTACATTTATAATAGTAAACATTTGCTTGGTTTGTGGATTGTAGCACCGATATCCTTTCTGGTGATCCGCATAGCCAAGGAACACACATCTTTCAGCTCTAAGAGACAACTTACTTCTTTGATGCTTGTGTAAGTGAACATAAGTAACACAACAAAAAACTTTATGTGTTAGTTCAGCAATTTTAAGACTTATTATTGCATCTGTAAGTGATTGAAGAGGTGTTTTATACTCAAGAGACCTGGACGGTGTTTGGTTGATAGTGTATACTGCATATGTGAGAGCTTCTCCCCAATATATTGCTGCCATGTGAGCTCCAATTAGTGCAGCTCGGACCACCTCCAATAGATGATAGTTCTTTCGTTCTGCCACTCCATTCTATTGTAGAGTACTTGGACAAGATCTTTGATGAACAATTCCTTTGGCTATTAAAAAATGTTGAAGTTCTGATTGCATATATTCTCCTCCGTTGTCACTGCGCAGTACCTGAATTTGTGCTTTGTACTAGGTCTCAATTATTTTGCAGAATTTCTGAAATAGTCCTCCAACTTCACTTTTAGACTTCATCAAACATAATCAAGTCATTCGAGTACAATCATCAATAAATGTTACAAACCACGTTGAGTCACCCAACGTTGTAACCTTAGATAGACCTCATACATCAGAGTGAATGATCATAAAAGGAAGAGAACTTTTATTTAAAATTAAAGGAAAATGTGTTCTATGACTCTTTGCAAGCTCACAAACATCACAATAAAAAGTTGAAGTGTCTACTTGGTCAAATACATTTGGAAATAATTTCTTTATGTAACCGAAAGATGCATGTCCTAGACGCTTATGTCATACCAGATATCCTCGCCTTTTCTTACTTCTTGAGACCCTTTTGCTGCTAGCACTTGACCAAGTCTCTTTGAATCTTTTTCTGTCAGGTCCAGGTAATACAATCTTCCTCGCCTAATACCACAACCAATCGTCTTCCTCATTTGAATATCCTTAAAAACACAAGAG